TCTGCTAAACTTCTACATCACTACTAATCTAACTTGCTATGCCAATTTCAAAAAAAAAAAAACAACAAAAAAATGAATGCTCAAATAACCTGAGGCGATTTTAATATGATTACTATTGTTTCTCCATTTTCCGTTATCACCTGAAAACCAATAAGCCATTTAGCCATAGTCACTTGACTTCCGCTAAGCGCATATTAGTGGCGAACGAATTGACATTGAGATAAATTCTACCAATTTTCACAAGTCATATTTTGACAAACAACCAAAAAGGGGCGTGACATAGCCCAGCACGCGCCCCGCCCCTTTTGGTCCATTTTCTCCCATGCCCCTCCGCAAAATTTTTTGACCTCAACTACGCGTATAGTCAATAGTTGAGATACCAGTTATTTTCTTGCTTTTAGGAAAAGAACATAAGGACAGATATATTTGCGCTAAGTTTTAAAATAACTAGTAAGTTTCTTTCAAACTGATTATAATGCTTATTCTCACTGATATTCAAAGAAGAATCTTAGTTGTTGGACAAATTTTTAGACACTCCTATCAGGGTAGCACCTGAAGTTTTAGGAAAGGATTAATGAACCTACCTTCTGCGTAGCCCGTCGTTTCCTGGCCAAGTGTTGTCGCCACGCTTTCTGAATTTTTCGAGCGAAACCGTCGTATTTCCTCTCACGAGCCTCTTCTAGCAAGAATAACTGCAAAGCAAATTCAATTATAGAATTTTCAGCAAAATGTTTTTCTGAACTAGCACTTTCAAGTTGCCCCATATGAAGAGCCATACAATAATATGATGAGATTTCAAAATGCAAAAGTGTTGAACAATTTACAAAAAATTGCGCAGTTTCAATTCTTGATAAAATGGCTAAAGGATCTTACAAACCATCATCTCAATGCATTCTCAACATACTAAACACTTTGATGTCAACATCGTAGAAGAGTATTAGTAGAAGTTTCGTATTTACTACTTTACGTTCCTTCAAGTATGCTGTATGAATCATGAATAAGTCCAAAAAGGGTATGGCTTCCCTGCTCGTTCGGGTGGGGGTTGAAGCGCAAATTTTATCATCCGTTCGCCCTACGTTTGGC